GTACATGGTTACTGCAGTGTGAAACTTGCGTCGAAACTGGAGAGATGGTAGAGACAGTTCTGTGTAGAGACTATTGTAGGAAGGGTATGGGATCCCAAAGTGACCACCGTGTGATAAGCCTGGCTGTTTGGTACTGAACAGATTCTAAAGTCCTTTGGTCACGTAAAGTGAGGCCAGCCCAGACAATATCCGCGTACTCTAACGTAGGTCTTGTAATGGTACAGCCGGAGCAGTAAGTTTTGGGGAATTTTCCTTCTTAGGGCACATAACAGTCCTGAAGAACGTCTTGCTTTTGTAGAGATGACCTCGATGTGTTGTGACCAGGACAGGGTATTCGTGAGAGTGACGCCTAAGTGTTTGTGGCTGGTGACAACTTGCAGTACAGTTCCTCCTAGGGTCACAGGGGGAATCGGTTGTGGTAGAGTACGAGTTGTAATGAACATGACTTTGCACTTGTCTATGTTGGCTTCTAGTTTCCATGTAGAAAGCCAGGTCGATACAGTACTCAACTCTCGGTTCAGTGTTGCAACTACGCGATGAACAGAATGATGGGAGAATGACAGAGATGTGTCGTAGGCAAATAAGTTGGCCAGACATTGTGTACGGCTGGTGGCAAGATCATTGATGTAAAGAATGAAAAGCGTTGGTCCTAGGACGGAACCTTGCGGTACTCCGGCTAATAGGGACTTCCATGCAGCCTGGGGCTAATGGGGACTTCCATGCACCCTGGATGACCACTCGTTGTTGTCTGTCCGAGAGGTATCTGGAGAACCAGTCATGCATAAGTCCATCTCTCTCCATCCCCCTCTTCCTTCTCTTTCCTTTACTTCTAGTATCTTCCTCTCTCCCTCACCCCACAACCCCCATTCCTGTTGTTATACCCACGACATATAGGTGTGCTATTTGAAGTGTGAAAAGAGTAAGAACGTTTTAAAAGTAAAATGTTAACGTTAACGGGAGGGGTCCTAATTCCGACCTATGTTCTATGCAAACGCACACACCTTTGGTAATAGTTTGTCTGACCCAAAATCCGCGCAACATGAGCAATAATATTGACAGATAAAGATAACAACGACACAGCTGTGTATTTCAAAGTGGCTGTTTCAAAAGCAAAACCTGTAGCTGTATTTTTGACGAGCTCGTCAACCCTTGAACAAGCGTCGAATTCAAACAGATTTTTCACTCGTCTGTTGTCGGAGCGTACGAACTAAAACAAACTTTGTGAGATTTCTATTATCAACACAAAACCATCTCCCTTTCTGTGACGACAATGTTCTAGAAGCTTATGTATGAAACGTATACCTTTAATCAACTTACAGAACTAATGTAAATAATTTTACATTACCTTCACTCAGCTGATTGGAGGCTGTCAATACATTGTTGTGACCTCCTTGTATAAAAAATGATGATTGACAACAGTCAGGTCCAAACACAAAAAATTCTGATGTAACCGAAACAAGATTGCAGGCCCCCTGGCGGGATTTGGCGTGTCTTTTCGTGATTCGATTTGTTTGATACAATGTTCTCAGAGTTAGTCGGCATGATCTAATTTTCTGGGTTCTCATTAAGAAAATTGCTCCTTTCAATGTTGGCAAAAAAGACTTGTTGAAAACACCAAGATAAAATTAGGGCATTGAATTCGAAACATTTGATTGTATCTATCGTCGGCTCGGCGTAAAGTTGTATGTATTGTATTGGGTAGAAACGGCTTGTAGAAGTCAACACCTGAGTGTACTCGTACATGCATGCCCTTTTCGCGTATCATTTGCCATGATTATACCTTATAATACTACATATAACCACCGCTTCTTAACAGGTAAGCGTATGGCTGTTTGATCAATTTGTTTTTTCAACTTTTCGCAACTGTATCAGTGTGTGTGTGTGTGGGGGGGGGGGTATTTCGGGTAACACTTGTTTCCATTACGTAGTGATAAGAAGTTAAACTGTCATAATGGTTGCTAATAGCAAGATACAAAATACTTTACCCATTTCAACAGAAGAGTTGAAAATTACCGTAGCAGGTCCACAGATTTGCCGTGTGGTGATGATAACAAGTTGACCCCGGGTCTATCTTTGCTCCAAGTTAAGAGGTTCCGACTAATCCAATACTGATAGCCTGGTGAGACCTGTAAACACCGTTGGCGACAATGTTGCATAAACTTTGACTCGTTCAAAGTCTGTATATATCAATTCGCCCTGACAACGCAACCCCGAACAGCTGTCCTGAAATAGTTTTTTGTTGAGCACGCGTACGTAACAGTAAGTTTCTATGATATACAGGAGTTACAAGAATGCTATCGTTTTACGTTTACTGTCCAGTATTTTTTATTAAAGTTTATTTGTAAAAAATGTACAGTAAATTGCAATTGGTTTGGCGGAGAGAAGTCAATATACTCAATATATCACAGACACGTAGACCGTTATGTCATCCTTATACTACCGGGCTCTACTCAAATAAACAGTAAAAGGTAAGGTTGTCAAATGTGACAAGAATAGACTACATAAGTCATTCATGCCAACTTCTGACAGGACGACTTTTGGGTATAGAATTAAAGCTTTTATAGCACCGGAAAGACGGTCACAGTAGTCACGGAAGATACCTGAACGGCAAAACTCTGCTAGAACTAGCTTCAGATTGCCCGGGTAGGTTTGTTGCGCCCATGGAAAGGCCCGTCTTACGATAACTGCTCAACAGCTATTCATCCGTGAAGTGCCTTCGTTTTGTTTACGGAAACAATCGGCTTAAAGGAAAAGCGACCCCCTCGCATGGCTCGGTTTTAATTTAGTAAACTTTGACGCCTTTGTGTCTGGGAGCAGCCGGCCATTCTACTTTCCCCTGTCGGCCCCTGTTCCCGACTCGCGCAGCATTTTGTAAACTCTGTCAGGACTACAAGTCAACGTGAAACACAAGTCATACATCAAGGTCAGGAGTAGGGCGCAACACTTTATATTTTTCACATTGCAGTGGATACTGAGTACAAAGCGACCTTCGAAATCTCTCTTTATTCGACTTCTGTCAAAATCTGCAGAAGCAATAGCCCGAAGAATGTCAAGGAACTAAAAATGAGTTTGTTTAGTTAATGACTATACAGATACAATGTCCACCACTGTGGGTGTCCTTTTGAAGCGTTCTTTGTCCACTAAAAAAATGTAGCTCTTTAGAGTCTTTGACAGAAGCGGGTTACGTTTGGCAAGCTGCCATCTGAGACATATACAGGATTCTGACCAAAGGAGACTCTCTTCTTGCTTGATCCATGGCGACTTGTTTGAAGACGAATTGTTCTGGCTGGTCTTGACTTGACCCGGGGTCGGACCGCTAGGGGCAGAAACAATGTATTTGATACCCAGGCAACGTTGTGCTGAGGGCGACAGAACAACCACCTGTTGGAGTTTCGTACACTCTCGGATAACCACAATCTTCCAAAACGTAAACAACTCTTCCCCCTTTGTACAAATCACTATACCGTGTTGCTTTCGTCAAAATCCCGTCTACTTGGTTTGCTGACGGATTTTCCAAAATGCGTGCTACTTTGTTGAACACGTTTTACCTCCAGACGCCTTCACAGTACCCCCGAGGTGGCAACACCAGCGCACTAGCGGGTTTTTGTTTACCAAACTCGTGGATTGCTTACATGTCAATTTTAGACGCGTCGTGGCGGCATTGTGGTCGGCCGGGCTTGGGTTTCCTGCCGCCATTGAGTTTGTTGGACGCGAACTTTATTCAGTCGTCGGTCGTCAAGTCGCATGTGTGGGTACCGGGTACTGATCGACGGGCGCTGTCCTGGTGTTTGAGGACGATTTTGCACAAGGTAGGTCCTACAACTGCTGAAACGGACACGATTGAAGTTCTGAGGCATCGCTGCGACAGTCTGCCTCCCAGTCAGCACGTGTCCCGGCTACGTCGCTAGGGTAGTTTACGGGAGTCGGCGGAGCGTGAACGGCTTACGCTAGAGCTTGTCAAAACTTCCAGCCTGTCGCACTGCGCGTGTGGGCTTCTCACAAGTGTTTAAAGCTCCGCACGACAGATTCTCATTGCCAGGGAATATCCCACTGCTGTACCACTTGCCTTCACTGTGTTAACATCATTTACAGGCTTCTTAACTTAAGTTTGATTAACTCCTACTCCATTTGTTACTATCAAAACACACTCAATGTGTTGCCTGTAAAATACATTGGATTGCAACGTGTGTAAAGGGACATCTGTGTATACTTCACAAATGTAGAATGTCTTGAGTGGATTTCTGTCCGGAAGGAACTGCCCACAACATGTGTACATATAAGTGGAACAAAACATCATGTACCATAAACTCGACTGGACGTAAGTTTCATAGCTCTTTTCACGCGGCTACTTTAGTGTGGCAGTGAAAGGCCCTGCTCGCGTTACGCTTGGAGGGAGGGATCGCTTTCTATTGGGCGTTTATCAAGCGTGTTAGAAGGAGTTTACTTTTTTGTTCATCTGTTTATATACGACACACAATCATCTTTTCGGAGTAGAGTGCCCCTTCGTGTTTCCGAGCGACCATCTTGGCGGAGATTCTACAGAAACGTTAAAATCCCGCCGCTGGCCAGCCCCTCACTCCGACCGCCTCGTTCCCTTTTCGGTGCCAATTTTTCTTAATTCTATTTTCAGGCTGAGTAGTGTGGGTTTATTCCAAGCGGGAGCAGGGCTTCTCCAGACTTCCTGTACCGTGTGTTGACGTCTGGTTGCCGGGTGACCAGGCGGCCGCGGCACAGTCCTAGTCCTGTACCTTCTTATCCAAGGTAAGTCGAAAGGTTACAGTTTTAAGGATTAAAGGTTTTGCTGATTGATTATTGGTATCTATGGGTTTCTAAAACAGTTTGTGCCGTTGTCATGGAAACGGACAAGGGTCGCGGCTTTATCTTTTTTGATATCGGAACGCGCTGAAGCATAAATCAATTTCAATCAATACGTTTGCAACTTTCTCATGCACTCGAGAATTTTTGAGAAAATGTATCTTGAAATTAACTGACTTGCGAAGAAGCAAAACAGCAAATGTTCACAGCTTTTTCATTCAGAAATGAACAAGCACGCACTGCAACGTACTGAAATTGCATATCCCCTTGTCAAAATAAACATGAAGCCCAAACACTAATTTCAACGGTTGCAGGTAGCAAATTAAGCTTGCTGTTTAAGCTAGCGTCATTTCAACATGCAAAATCAAACAACGTGAAGGTTTTTGTTAATTTCCAAGTTGCCGACAGTACGGAAAATTCACAAGTTGCATTTCAAAGGGAAGAATTTCAGGGCAGTATGTAGTGTGCACCGAAAGTGTATATCCAAGGCCTGTTCCTTTGTAAACACAACGGACACGTATTACAATTTATAGACTGTGGTACAAGTTTACCGCCTGGATTAACGTGTATTTTACTCTGGTCCTCACTCTGTGTATAATGTGCTTGTTAGTTAAAACATTCTGTCTCGTGTTTATGTATAATAACCACCCATTCAAGCATGTCGATACAGTTTTCATGTCAACAGCACGCAGAATGCTTGGTGGCTATCAGAGCAAAACAGCGGTATCTACATGGATATTAAATACACGTGTTTAGGGGTGTAAAATATGGCATTGACCACCTGGTAAGCTAACTCAGAATTGAATAGACCCGCCGAGATTATAAACTATGTTTGCTTGGCGTCTTATTCAAACGGCAGGTACAAACAAGCTCATGCTTGTATATTTTAACGTGGCGGGGTCTTTTCAAATTTTCATGTAAACTAAGATAACATTGATCGCGTGTTGTTTCATGTCAGACTGCCCAATCAAGGACATTGTTTGCCATGTATTCTTACAGATGTTTCTGATGAAAAGTTATGTAATGAACCGCAGACGTGTTGTATATAAAAAAGCTGTGGGCTTGAACGAGAATTTTGTTTTGCAGGCACGACATTTGACAAGCGGGGATACATTGACGCTGTCAGAGAATTTAGAAAGAGCGTCGCTGAAGATGATAAACATGGGTAAGTATCATTAACTTTTTCTAGGGTTATGAAATTACCATAGATACGGATGTTTTGAGACCAGCTTCGACTCTCAGCAAGGACAGAGAGTTACAATGATTGTTCAAACATTGTTGTATTTGACTTGTTGCATTGGAAAATGCCACGAACGTGATCATACGATGTTGTAACAAGTAGTAAAGCGGCCATAATAGCTTAGTCCAAGCCCAGCCCGCCTGTCAGACTATGTCAAACCGTGTCAAGTCACTAAGGCCCGGTGGTGACAAACGCACACAACGGACATCCCAGCGAAGGTTAAGCAAAGAATCCCTGTCCTAAATACATATATTCAAGTCTAACAGAGAGGTGTTTTGTAATGGTTCTATTCTGGGTAGTTTTGGAGCTTGTTAAGTCTGTTCACAGTGTTCTGTGGACTGAGAACGTGGTGTGTTTTTCTTCTTCTTTAATTGGTAGAAGTAAAAGTATCGGGTTAGAGGCACGTGCAAAACGGCTCGTGTACCATGGTGGGCAGCAACACTCTCGCAATGCGTTACTTACAGTCCAATTCAAATAAGGTTCTTTACTATATTGAATATACATCGTCATCGTTATATGTTAGATCTAAGCTTGTGCTAAATTTTTCGAAATGGATTTTCATTAAACCGTAAAATTAACCAAATTTGGTATATGTTTTTAAGCATGTCAAGATGGGAATTTGTCCGTCATGCACATAAGATATACGCTGAGTCAAGTTGCCATCACTGATATAAGAGTACCGGGTTAAAGGTGCGACAAGGTATGATATATCCACAGACACTGAACCACTCACCCGGTTTGAAGTATTTCCAAAGTATCCTACTGGAGTATATCAACCAGACAAAGTAAACATAACGATATAGCGGTACAGATATCCACTCGACCATTCCATGAATCATTTGTCGTGGTACCCATTAACTAGCCTCCACCAGGCCTTTCTACGGGAATACGGATCGTAGAATTCGGCAAAAATGATAATCAAATGGGCCAAGGGAGTCCGGCCGCGGGGAGGTAGTTTCGTTCCCTCCACCCCAAGGTGGCCAAACTCCCCCGGCAAATATTCTCCTATATATAGCCAGCGTAGTTAGTCTGGTAGAGACTACCCCTTAACTCCTTTCTTTTATGCGTTGCTAGCAATCAACAGAACGTGATCAGAAGGCCGTTTGTGAAGTTCAAAAGTGGTTACAGCTAACAGCACTTGTCATGTCGCGGTCCCGGGTGTTAGAAAATACCGGGGAGCCCGCGTTGTTGCGCGGACGTTGGGATTTCGGTACTGATAAACTGTGTGAGCGGTTTGCACAATGTTAATGATAAGCTGGTGATTCAAGTATATCAACACCTTCCTGGGATCTCCCAATCATTCGCTATGAAATTTCAGTGTAATGTAGATGACATATGTAGCTAGAGAGAGGGGGAGCCTTAAAGGAATCTAATGCAAGTCAGGTCAGTAAAACAAAAACATCCTGGGTGATGAAATCTGTCTGATATTGACATTTACTACCATACTTGAAGCAGTTGAAATATCTCACAAAATAAGCCACCTCCGTAGTTCCTCTATTTTTTCGGTACCACCCATAAATAGATAGAGTCATGCTACAATACAAAACCAGGCAGGTTCAACCCTCCTTGACAAAGCAAACAAGGAACCGTCTTTTGTCAGCGACATTGCGTTTTTCCTCACAAGCTACAGGAATTCCATTTCACATTATGGGTACCACCCATAAATAGCTAGAACCATCCTACGATATACAAAACAAAACAAAACAAAACAAACCAAACAACCGTTTTCTGTCAGGGGAATCGCATTTTTGCCTCCCAGACATCAGTATGCTATAGGATAGGACTGATTCAACTTAATGAGAATTGCCGCCCTGAAATTGCATTGGACGCCTTTAAACCATGTTAACTGAATGAACTGAATGCCATCTTTAGGAAAACATTAGGTACCAAAATAGTATACGTTTAGCAAGTTCTGTCGCATAGCATTGTCGAAGATTGTGCTCATTAAAAGTAAGAATAAAGTGACATGTAACTGCACGATATTATTGTCACGGTACATATACATTACATAAAGCGGAAACAGTTTAAGAAATTACTCGGGCCCTATGACAATATATGACAGTATGACAAAAACAGCATCATGAGTTATGGCAACCAAATACTAGTATTACATCTTTAAATCAAACTCAGCAACCATTTTACAAACTCTCTTTGATCCAAACCATGTAGGATACATTGTCCCCGCAACTTTTTTTTGTAACAAGTTTCTCCTACTTGAATATACAGGTCGTAAGTTCAATTTCTTCTTTTTAACTGCCAGCTAGAAACCGGACTTGGGATAGTTATTGATTAAGATGTTAGTTCGCGCGCTAACAATGAGAGAGACCGCGGTTTAAAAGGCTGTGGAGGCATGTATCCACCCCGGCGTTGTTTAGGAGCCGATGACTGCTATAAGTTTACCTACCAGAAGGGTTTTCACGTGCACAGCGTGTCCTGACATCTGCCCTTCGCCATGTAAGCCCCGCGGGTTAGATATCGGTCAGAAGGCCGTGTGGGTTACACCGTTTCTAAAGACTCATACAAGTTCCCGTTCCACCCGAGTTCAGATGAAAAGTTTTCAAGTCGTGCATTTGTTCTCCCTGGCACCCC